CGCAAGATCCTGCTGGTCGCGTCCTGTGCCGGCAGTGGCCTGGGTGCCGCCGCCTTCGGCCTGTACGCCTTCTATGCGGAGGAAACGGACGCCGATCTGACCGCCTATGCCGCCTGGCTGCCCGTCAGCCTGATGGCCCTGATCATTTTCATTGCCAATGTGGGCGTCAGTTCGGTGACAATGGTGGTGCTGGTGGAGCTGCTGCCGCAGAAGATACGGGCGGTGGCCACCAGCATTTGTCTGGGCTGCCTCAGCTTCTTTGCCTTCACCTCGCTCAAGACCTTTCCGCTGATGATGTTCCACTTTGGCCTGGCCGCCACCATGTGGTTCAGCGCCTCTGTCGCTGCTCTGTGCCTCTTCTATGTGGTGGTGTTCGTGGACGAGACCAAGGGCAGGTCTATGTACGATTAAGCTGCAGCGGGGAAACCCTAGAGTATGACTAAGCCGTGCCCCCGTCACAGCCTCAAACTTGGCGAATAAAGTATTTCGGTATTCATTTCAGCAGTTGCCAGGCTCGTGTTTTGTTTTGTTCCTGCCTGTGGGGTGGGGGGGGGCGTTAAACCAAAACAAAACAAAGCTCCACAGAGCTAGGGCTAGAAGAGCTCTCTCTCTCTCTCTCTCTCTCTCTTCCCCCATAAAAATGACACTGACATGGCTCTTGATTTATGACCCACTGGCTTCACTTGGCACAGCGCCTGTTGCTGCCAGCTGCCGCTGCCACTGCCACTGCCACTGTCATTGCCGCTGCTAATGTCATGTCAACAATTAGCTCTGTTGGTATTATCATTTATAAGCGCGCACATTAATCCCAGCCCACGTCGGCTGTGGCTGTGGCTGGGGCTGGGGCTGGGGCTGGGGCTCGTTAAGTGGCTGCTGCCAACGCGTCAGACGCGTGCTCGCAAATGGGAAATCTTTGCAAACATAAAATGGCAGGAGCATGGCAGCCCCACTGAAAATGTCTTTTCCATATACTTTTCCATTCCATACTCCAAGCATAAATTAAATAAAGCTTTACCTTAGGGGTACAACCTGCTGAATCATTCTGATTTGTGATTTGTGATTTGGGATTGGTGAATGCGATTGTGATTCGTGTATATTTTGTTCATTATTTATGGTTCATACCATTTTGCGCTGCCCTGCCCTGACTCATCATTATGCAGTGGAAGACTCCCTGCCTACCATTAGTTTTATTATTTATTTTATTTTATTTATTTGTGCACATTTATTGTATACAAGTGTATTGGAGGTAGCAGGTGTGTGTCCTGCCTCAAAGCCTCTTTATCAGCGGCATTTTCTATATACTATACTGTTTAATCACTTGGAACCCATAGATTTGACTTTCTTATCGATAAATCTGTCACGCATTTATTTCGATTATTCTGGTACTTGGTAAAACTATTTTTGGTTTGGATTTTGGACTATTTTAATCAAATATAAATCCTTTTACGGCGTGCTGCGCTGCTGCACATTTAATTTGTGCATCGGGCAGAATGTAATTTCCTGTCTGTGTGTGGGGCATTTTCGTTTTAATTACCACGTACCTGACCACTGGACACAACAACCACAATATACATATGTATATAGTTCAGTTGCAACGCTTTCAATTAGCAGTGGAATTTCAGGTGTTTCGGAGCAAATCTCTGGTAAATGAGATGTTGGAAAATACAAATTGATATCAAAATAATTCGTTTGTGCACTTAACATAAGAACATTTTGCCGAGCCAGAGCCCAGGCCCACTCAGACTTGCCCCACTTTAAAGTTGAAACCAAAACACTCAGCAGCAGCAGCCCAAACAGTACGCAGGCTACTTCACTTCGCTTAGGCAAATTGCCAGCAATGTACATGGAAGCGGGGGGGGGCCAGCCGTAATGATCAGGAAAGTGATAATAATGGGCAATGATAAGAGGGGAAGAGACAGACAGAGAGAGAGGGAGAGAGCAACAAACACTTTAAAAGCAGTTAGAGATGGACGAGTATCGTGTCACGAATATAATTAAAGCATTCTTGTCGCGCGGCCGCTTGGAACATAACGGTTTTAGCTGGCAAAGCTAAGGCCGCTCGAGCGCCGTGTGGGATCGTGAGAGAGCGCTTACAGTGCGCTGTTACCGGCAGCGGAGCGCTAACAGGCTGGTAACCTGGGGAGTGTTAACAGTGCTAACAGTGTTAACAGTGCTGTTGCTCTCTTAAAGCTGCTGCGTGCATCTCCAACTGAAATATGCACACATATGTACATATGCACATATGTATGTATGTATGTATGTATGTATGTATGTATGTATGTATTGCTTAATATCAGCAATCAGCTGTAAAATGGTGTTTACCCACGCTGTTTTTTTTTGTTTTCAACAACTTTAACAGTAACTTGAGTGCAGTCAACTATTTAAGCTCTTTGTTTTCGTACTTCTCTAATGAATTTGCTCAAAGTCCCAGAAAGGAGAAATGCTTGGAATGTGAATGGCTGATTAGGAATTTCTATTATGTGTACGATGAAATATACATACATATATGCATGTACATTATTACAAATGTATTGTATGTGTTTTGTTTCATCTCTAACCACACCACAAAACCAAAGCGTTTATGTGAAACAAGGACAAATGACCCTCAATCGTTGCCATTCGACACCGTCGACATCACGCGTCGCATGCGGAATATTTGTTAAATTAAAAACGCAACGGGGCATGGGAACTTCGGGGCCTCGCGACTAATTAATTGCCTAGAAATTTGATAATTAGTGCTTAGCATTTGAACCTCTCGCTCCTGCCTTCTCTCTCTCTCGCTCCCGCCTTCTCTCTCCCTCTCACTCACTCTCGCTCTCTCCGACTCCTGTCGTGTTTTGCGCTTTGACTTTGTTTGTTTGCATTCGCAATTTAATGACACATTTTGTGCGCGAATTTAGGCGTTGCGGGGTCGTAATTGGAACGTTAAGCATTTGACTGGAACGTTAAAGGTATGTCGGAGAGGGGGTGGGCTTGTTACACAGAGTCCCCCCCCACTGCCACCCACTGCGCATATGGCAAATGACTTTTCAGCTTCGACTCAATGGGGCACACGAAAACAACCCATTTAATTATTGATTGCATTTTTGCCCAAAAAACTTAACGAAAACGAAAGGATACAAAATCGAGTTGCTTTTGTACTTTTTTGTTTTTAAATATATATCACAATATATATTTCTTTTCGTTAGTTTGTGTTATAATAATTATAAAATAATTATAATATAGTACATATATAAAAATTATAAAAATTATCATTTTTTATTATAAATGAATTATAAATTTATTTATTTATTTGTTATTTATTTATTTATTTATTTTTTATTGCTTATTTATTTATAATTTATAAATAAATTATAAATTTTATAAATTTTATATATAAATAAAAAATAAATAAATAACAAATAAATAAATAATAATAAACTATAAAAATTATCATTTTTTATTATAAATAAATTATAAATTTATTTATTATTTATTATTATTTATTTATTTGTTATTTATTTATTTTTTATTTATTTATTTATTTATAAATAAATTATAAATTTTATTTTATATTATATTATATTTTATTATAAAATGTAAGACTTTTTGAATCAAGCGATCCAATTAATTCAAAGTATTTTATCTATTGTGCGCTGAGCTGCTTAGCATTAATACTAAGAGACGCTTGTGTATAGCATAGCAGCAGTTGGAACATGAAATATATTTTTATATGATTTATTCGGGCAAAAATACTTGAGTGCTCTGCGCTGCAAATATCTGATCCCTCCAGAGGGATACATATAAAAAGACTATGAAAGTCGGAGAGACTATTTTGCACTGACAACAGATAAAGCTACTAACAGTAAGATAGAATGAAGGATATATACACCACCGGCAGGCATATAAAGCAGGCGTTAAAGGTCCGCCACTGGCTCATATAATATGCAGCGGAAAAGTATCGCAAAATCGTGGAGAGTTTCACAATTTTCGGCGAGCTCAAGTCGTCGTTGCACCACACAATGGAAGACAAGAAATGTTGCAAGGCCCAAGGCCCTGCAGCACAGCACAGCTTCACACAGGCAGTGTGCTGGCTGACACACGGGGCGATGGATGTTGAACACGTGACAGAGACCTTGAGAAGTAATGCAGAACAGGCGGCTATACCACGTGCCACACAGAACTCACGTACGAGTAAAGGGCAACACATCCGTTTACCCTACAGGCACGGTACAGACAGTTCGGGTAGTGGTGAGGCGGTGAGGGCGTGATTGGTTGCACTTGTGCGTTGCACAAGCAACTTTACAACATCTTCGCCGTCTACTTGCCACTGCCGTGTGGCTGCTCATCTTTCACTCATGTGACCTGTGGAGGTGGAGCGCCAGAGAACTTCCAAGCTGTACAGATAATAAATAAATAAATAAAATAAATAATAAATAAATGTATAAATATTAATTGGGTGCATGCAAAGCTTTTCTTTCAGTGTCTCAGTGCCCTCAAATATTTATACATAGAAGATTTTTATTTGTGTTTTTATTTCTGTCGCAAAGGCACGCGACTCATGATTCATAGCCCTGGCTAATGTGAGTATTTGTTTTATTGTTTGCCTTTGGCACTATCAATGTCGCTTGCTCTTGCTCTGTTGCATTCTATGGGTGTCCAGGCAGCACTGCACAAAAGTATGCTACGTGCCACAGACAGGCAGCCTCGCACGCCTCGCAGCCTGCCTGCGAAAATATGTAAGTCGCGGGGCAGCACAATCGGCACACGCACAGCTTAAACGCTTCAGCTTCCGTGTGGCTTTCAGCTTATGCACTGCATAAATGGCTAGAACGGAACGTTTGCGGCTTCAATAGCTAACGCCTGACTGGCTGCATAGCATCGATTTTTGATTAGTTTGAAATTCCAGCCCTGGGGGGTTGCCTATATAAAATCATTAAAATATGCTAGCAATTCCGATGTACGAGGCCCCAACTTTGTACTGAATTAATTTGCTTTTGTGTACATTTTTGGCATTGCAGTGAACACCCAACCCAAACACACCCCACTATGAGCAGATCAGAACTCTCAAAATGCGGCTCTCTCACACATTTGGCATTAGCTGCAGCAGCATCCAACAGCAGTGGACGATGCTGCTGCTGGCGCTGATATGTTGCAGTACAGCTGCCTCTGATAGCAGTGCCACGACAACGATGGCAACGATTGCGGATAGCCCCAGGCCAAATGGGCAATGGAAAGCGAGCAGCAACAGCAGCAACAGCAGCAGCAGCAATGAGAGCCAGAGAGCATCAGAGGCACAGCCACAGCCACAGCCAGCAGGCACCAGGATACGCCTCAATGTGAGTATATTTACTAGACACTAGATATCAGAATTGAGTAGCCAAAGTTTCGTGCGATCAACAGACGTTGCCAGCCAATGGGGAAATCACGGAGCTGAGCACCAATGTCACTCTGTACATGGAGAAGATACCGCGCATTCAGGTGCGCTGGCAAGACAACCTGCCCGAAGGTGAGTCTCCCCTTCCAGAAATCCCCGGCTCAAGTGGTCCTTCCTTACACGTCCCATGCTGTGCTCTTTAATTTCCCAGGCACTTCCTACAACGTCCTGGTGAATGCCGTGAACAACACACGCTGTCCGGACGCGCCCTGCAGTGAGTACGGCATTAAGGAGAAGCCATCCAGCTATGTCTACCTGCCGCTCAATCCCAATCTAAATGTGGAGTCTGTTGACTGCAACTACATGTTCGGCTGCCAGTACACAGTCACCGTGGAGACATCCAATGCGCTCGTTCGACGCTCCACTCGCATCTTTATACCACGTGCGTGTCAAGCACAAACCCTACCGCTACCGCTACCCCATCCTAAATGGAATTTAGCAACGAACTCTGCTCTACATTTTCTGTGTTATTCTTGTAGAATGTGTGGCCGGCAAGTGCTCCTGCCAGCTGGCGCCAACACCGCCCAAGGTCCTGACCGCAGCCAAAATGCTAACCAACGAGACCATCAGCATCAGTTTTTCGATTCAGGCCAGTGAGCAGCTGCGCAAGGAGCAGGCCAGTCAGCTGCACGATACGCTGCGTTCCTACAAAATGCAATTAAAGTGAGTAAAGTGGGTGGTGGGGATGGGAGGAACATGAACATTGAACAGGAACAGTGTGCACTACGCCACGTATCACACTGGGGGAAAAACCAGCCAATCTATCGGAAGAAAAGTCAACATTTCTAGTGCAAAAAAAAAAAACAAACTTAAAATTTGATGGAAATTCAAATTTTGCATACCCGTACCCCAAAAAGAGTTATGGGGTATAGTGAGATGATGTAGAATCTACATTGTGTATGTATAATTTATATTTTATATGTGGAATCGACATTGTAGATGTAGATGTAGTTAACTAATGTAGCGAACAAATTTAAGATGTAAATTTTTTTTAATTCTACTTAAAACATAAGCTCACAAAGTTATATACTGACTGAGTACGGGCTTAAAAGTAGAGTCGCGTTCCCCGAAGCGACTCACACGTTCCTTCTTCTTTTTTTTTTACCTGATTTTTTTATTTAGACTCAATAAATTTGACTAGTAGCTTACCATAATTCAAACAATCTAAATTTCGAAAATATATAGCTTTATTATTTTCAAAGTTTATGACTTTAATATCGCCCGTTTTGGCAGTTTTGCCCAGTGTGCGCTTGTGCAAAGTTTCAACGTTTAACAGAATTTCTCTTTGCTTTCATTAGTTTTGGTTCACTTTAAGCAGGCAGATTAATTGGCCTTTTGCATGGCCAGGTAAAATGAGGCGTCAGACCCCTTGACATGAGCAACTAATTATAATAATGCCACTTTTCAGTGGCAAACTGCTGCACAAAATTAAATTCAATAATATATGTATGTTGTACGAGCTGTGTGGTCACATAGTGGGGGAGGGGCACTCACTCCCTGAAGTGCTGTCAGCAGCATTTGTTAGTCAAAAAGTTGCCTCAATTTATGATGATGCACTGGCAGGCAGCCTGCAGCAATTTTGCCATATTATTCCAGGAAATCAGAGTTGACTGTTGCCGGAGGGGAGCTGGCCAGTTTTCGAGCAGCAGCAAGAGACGAAATTACTATTATTTTAAAGTCGAATAGCAGTAAGAATATATCCATAAATTTGCATTGCATTTTCGCTCGTTTTGCAGAATAAATGAGGAAATGAATCCATCATTGCCCTGGGGCGGCGTACTCAAGAATCTGCTGATTCGTGTCTATAATCTGAGTGAGCTGAACTTCAAGCCAACGGCCAAGGGCTTTGAGGGTAACATGAAGCTGCCGCTGGGCATACAGCTGAAGGAAAAGGCCTCACTAAATCTGCAGGCCGTCATCATGGATACATCGGGCTGTGAGGGGCCGCGCAGCGTTACCAAGGTGCCAGGTAAGGAGATGCTTCTTCACCCACAACTGCCCAACTGTCACCCCAACACATAAATGTACAAAATGACATTTCATATTTGCAGTGCCAGCAAATCCCATTGTGCTCACGGACGAGGATAATGTGGTACGACTCGACAAAGGGCAACGTCGGTAATCATTTAATGTGATTCTTCTCCATCGTTTTACTCGCAGAGCAATTCCATTATCATTATGAGTGCGATGCTCATTGCCATCATTCTGGCTGGCCTCTCACTGCTGCTGATGCGCCGTCGACGTGCCCGGACCAAGGCAAAGCTGCAGAAGGAGGAGACCTATATGCAAACCTTTGCCACCTCCGCCATCGAGTGAGTTGGGGGGTCGTATAAGTGAATTCCCAGATTCCCAAGCTAATTGCCATTTCCATTTTCCAGCATGGAGGACAACGTCAACTATGTGGACAAGTATGTGGAGGTGAGTGCCAGCAAACGCATTAATATCCTACCCTTTTCTATGTTAAGCTAACGTTTCCATTCGCACTCCCCATTAGCAGTCGCAGGCATTGGGTCTGGCCGATATATTCGAGGTGCCGCACGCGGCCATTCACATGGGTCGCATGCTGGGCGAGGGCGCATTCGGACGCGTCCACGAGGCCACAGCCATCAATCTGCGCCGCATGCGAGGCACAACAATTGTGGCTGTGAAACAGCTGAAACGTGAGTATTTTTTGACGCCAACATCAAGCGACTATGTGTGACACTCTCTCTCTCTCCACGCTATGGCCCATCAGCGAATCCCACGGCCGATGAGGTGGCAGAGTTTCTGGCGGAAATCGAAATGCTCAAGGGCGTGGGCACGCATCACAATGTGGTGTGCTTTCTGGGCTGTTCCACCATCAAGGCGCCCTACCTCATGATCATGGAGTATGTGGGGCGTGGCAATTTGGTAATAAATTTCATTAATTTCTCTGCCTCCCCAAAAATTACGCATTACGTACCATACACAGCTCAGCTATTTGCGTACGGTGCGGCAGGAGGCTAGCAAATTGAAGCTACGCAATGCGAATTATACCAGCTGCAAGCCCATCCAGCCCAGGGGCATCTCCACCTCTGCTGGCGGACTGCCCAAGTCGCAGAGCGTCAACTATATCGAATTGAAGGCATCCAGCCAGAGCATAGAGCTGCCCAACTCCACCGAGAGCTCCAATCCCACCAACACAGGCAATGGCTTGGGTCCGGCGGCAGGACGTCAGCCCATTCCCTCGTTTGCCGAAAGTAAGTTAAGCACAGCATAAAGCCAACATAATGGCCATAATGTGCATTTTCAGCCACGTACACCATTGTGGAGGATGAGGAGCCCTTTGAATATATACTGGACAACAGAGAGTTGCACAACTTTGCCCTGCAAATCGCCAATGGCATGCGGTTCCTCGAAGAACAGGAGATAACACACCGGTAAGCGTCGGTTGGGGGCTTACGTTTAAGCTTAAGCTTAAGCTCGGGTTTTATCCTTGTGCGAATACTTTTTACAGCGACCTGGCAGCGCGCAATGTGCTAATTGACAATAACAAGACCTTAAAAATATCCGATTTCGGTCTGTCGCGGCATGGCATTTACACGAACACAAAGACGCGTAAGGTAAGGGGGAATAGTAGCATTTTTTTTTTGTTTAACCCCATTACATGTACCTCTCTCTCTCTCTCCTGGTTAGTTGCCACTGCGCTGGCTCTCGATTGAGGCCATACGCGACAATGTCTACTCGAGCAAGAGCGACATTTGGGCGTATGGCGTGGTGCTGTGGGAAATTGGCACGCTGGGCGCCTCACCCTATCCAACGATAAGCAACAGCGAGCTGATACCCTACCTGCTGGCGGGCAATCGGCTGCAGCGGCCGGACATTTGCACGCCACAGGTGTACACCATAATGCTGCAGTGTTGGCTGGAGGAGCCCGAGGAGCGGCCGACATTCGATGCCCTGTACAGGGTGTTGAGCCCAAAGACCACATATGTGGACATTAACAGTCTGAGTGATGATTACGTATTTCCGCCGATTAGAGAGACTAAGGATAGTCCATAAGTTAGTAGTCGTACTCTTTTTGCTAGTTACTATACTTATCTTTAAATTAAATTAAATTAAATTAAATGAATGTGAAACGCTTTTTCCTATAGATTGTAGTTTCTGGTTGCTTCTTTGCATTGTTAGCCACCCTCCTCCCGTTCTCTATGTAAATAGTTAGTTAATTAAGTGCTTATTAGTTAGTTAACCTGTGGGGCACCACCCACAAACTGTTGTATGTATACGAAACGTTATTTCGATGTGCTGTGAGTTTTTCCCAACAAAATATGGGCATCATCTTTAAATTTAAATCTTTGTACATTTACTTCGTGTTCACACATACTTTCCAAAGTATTATTAAAGAAGCAAAAACAAAAAGAACTTAGTGAAGTTACTTCAATTAATTAAATGGGCACTGAAGGCCCTTTTTTTTCAGCGTGTGCTGCCAAAGGTTTTATTCCATTCGACGAGACTTTGAAGGTTCTGCTGCGAAACAGAGCTGGTAATTTCTTTGAGCGCCTGTTTGAAGTCCTCCATGCTCACGGCAGGCAGCTGCAAAGAGAATAAATTCACTTACAGACACGACGCGACACCCGACCACTGTATTACCTGATGCGGCTGTATAACGTCCATCTGGGAGTAGCTAATGGAACGCAATGGAGCCAATAGTGCATAATGACACAGACTGTCCACATCGGCGCCCGAATAGCCGTCCGTGAGCTCAGCCAGCTCTTGTATTTCCAGCAAACTCAGGCTGTGCGTCACTGTGGCGATGATCTTTTCAATGATTTGCTGGCGTGCCTCCTTGGTGGGCAGCGGCACATACAAGCGACGCACAAAGCGTCGACGCACCGCCTCATCGATCTCCTGGGGCCTATTGGTGGCACCTACCACCAGCACTTGATCCTCAGCATTGGTGGCAGCGCCATCCAAATGTATGAGAAACTCATTCTTCAGGCGCATTGTGCTCTCGTTCTCGTTGGCAGAGCGCTTCGATAGCAGCGAGTCAACCTCATCGATAAAGATAATCTGCGGGGGGAGGGGGGAATTGCAGTTCAGGTTTAGCAGGAATTAATATAGCAATAACTTACGGCTGGCTGATGGGCCACGGCCACAGCAAATAATGTCATTACCAGCTTCTCGCACTCGCCCACCCACTTGGAGGTGAGTGTGGAGGGACTGATGCTAAAGAACCGAGCCTTGGCCTGCGAGGCAATGCATTTGGCTATCATTGTCTTGCCGGTGCCGGACGGACCGAATAACAAAACGCCGCGTGGCGGACGGCGTTGGCCGCTGTACAAATCGGGACGCCGCAACGGCAGTATGATGGCCTCCAGGAATGTGGATTTGGCAGATTCCAAGCCGGCAATATCTTCCCAGGCTGCAAATTAAATGCATATTTGAATCGTGTGTCAAAGCGAAATATCCTCCTACACTACTTGCCCACATTCGTGTAGTTGTGCATGCTCTCCCTCATGATTTGCTCGACCATTTTGGCATCGAGATGTGCGAGTGAGTCGGGTATGGGAATGTTGCCCCCACTCGAACTGCTGCTGCCGCTGCTGCGAGCTTGGAATTAGTGGAACATGCTGACATGGGAAATTTCATCTCTCACCCATTGCTGCGGTTCGCATGCTGCTCCAGGGCCTGATCCGTGGGCGGCACATACTTTGAGTGCACAGTGCGCCGGCCGCCGAGCGTCTTTTTGCTGTAATTCATCGAATCGGCTGGTGCGGCATTTTCACTCGGTGGCTTCTTTTTCTTGTAGTTCATCAGATCCCATGGTGCGGCATTTTCATTTGGTCCCCTTTTTTTCTGCAACAAAAAAAAAGCTTTAAGCATTTGCTAGTGCGTCGATGCACGCGACCATACCTTTAAATCGTCCAACTCCTGCTGTTCGCGTGCAGTGCGAAAGCCCAACCAATTCGGATCCGAGTCCTCAGCGGCAGCCGCAACTGAGCCTGAGCTGCTACTACGATGAGAGCCTTTAATCGGCTTAGGGGCTGTATCCACAGATGCCAGAGGTCCTGTTGCTGGGATTGGCCTACGCGTGCCACTCTCATTGTGCGCTCCACCGGGAGCCCGTAATTTCTGCAAATCGCTTAAAGCCAATTCGTTGTGCTGGCAACTCTCGTAGGCGCCACGGCAGTCAGGCGTAAATACGCTGGTCGGTGGCGTGCTAAGCTCCATGGTTTTACCGGAGCCGACGCGACGACGACTGCCCTTTATAATCTGTTGACATCGCTCCAAGCGCTGCTTAATGATTGCCTCCGAGCTCCTGTCGCTTTCCAGCTTATCCATGTGCTCTTTGATTACAGCATTATGCGTTGCATCATTAATGTGCCTGCAATTCGCGGTAAAGGTAAAAGGTTAATTCAGTGCCGTGCCGCTTGTGTGCGTCAATTGACATGCATTTACCGCGTTGCTTGGCCCAGCAATATCCTTTGCGTGCGCCAGGCATTTTGTTTACTGCTTGCAGTGGTTTGCTCTGCCTGCCAAATTGCTTCGTTGGCTGCATATAGCTCGGCCCATTGCTCGGGTGCTTTGTCCATTTTGCTTTATTGCTTAAACATGCAAACAATTGTTAATTTTGGGGTGTAATGTAGTGTAGTGTAAATCAATGTAGTGGAATGCGGCGTCGCTCCCCTCCCTCTTCCGTTCCTGCACTTCCTGTGTCCTGTCCGTATGCTTTGGATGATGATGTGCAGTCTTTAGAGGTGGTTATGCTACCAGGCGTTTATGGTTCCCGTGCTGACATGTCTTCTAATTTATTTATCTTTTTTTTCTTGCCGCTGCGCTTCTTTAAAACCATCTGCACGTCATATACAGTGTGACCGCAGAAAGAATATACTGAACTTCAAAAATATATATATCGATACTATCGTTTCGGCAACGATACAGCCCTAGTGAAAGATCCGTTATGATATGTGTATTTGTGTGAGTGTGGACGCGGCGCGCAGCTAGCTTAAATGCTGAAACTAACTACGTACAGCAACTACGTAAAGTAACGTTAACTTAGTAACTATCTAGTAACAGTAGTACCCTAACCTGTAGTTAAGTGGAGCAACAGCCCGACATATGAGCATAGTTACGTGTGTGTGTGCGTCTGCGGACGCCCGCAAAATCGGCTTAAACTCTTTTACTTAAACTCGCTTAAACGCCTAAACTAACTGGCACCGTGCAGTAACTACGTAACGTTAACTTAGTTAGTAACGATATAGTACCAGTAAATAACTTACCTGTAGTTAAGTGGAGCAGCAGCCGGAGCATCCCATTTTGAGCATATACGTGTGTGTGTGTGTGTGTGGACAACCCAGTCGGACCTTGTAGAAGTGGTTGCAACATAGTACTGGTTCTTCACTACTTCCCTGGCAGGCTTAGTAGAACCGATTCCACAAAGAATGGTTCTATCATGCATATTTTTGCACAGAAAAATATGGAATGAAACCCAAACCGATTCCCGATCGTTCGTTTTTTTCACGAAGCGGCCTATGCATTCTCTATGCCTTCTAATAGAAGCGAGAAGTTCACGCATCGAAAACGTTCGCAGGTAGACGTTTTCGATGCGTGACTTTCTCGCTTCTATTAGAAGGCATAAAGAATGTTTTTGAAGACAAATTCGTACCCTCGGTAAAGCGGTAGGACAACAAAAAAATTACAAAAGGGAACATGCAAGAACGCACGCGGTTTTTTCTCGACTTCTTTTATTTCATCAGTTGCGTTTTGAAGCCGGTGAAAATTGTGCGTTTATCTGTGCCCTCTGCCAACAATTGTGAAAAAGTGAAACTTAAGTGCCTAAAACCGTTTATTTTACCACGTAAGTATTGGCAGATTGTTGTGGCAGTTCGGCCTGCACCCTAAGAATATGAAAATAAACAATAAATAATGCATAATGTACATATTTCTCTTTGAACATGTACATGCACATGAACATAACCTCAACGATGGAATGCGATATACATAAGTTCTTCAAACTAAGGAGAACTAAACGCACTGTAAGTATTAATAGTGGTGTAAATATATGTTGATACAAGTAGAGAGATGTTTCAATGTTCACGATGTTCATGCAGTGAAATTTATTTAGGGTGGACCTTGTTCGGATTTTTAATGAACTGATTAGGGTGGACATAAACATTAAAAAATTGTATTTGAAATTAATAAACTTTTGCCAAAATTAATAAAACAATAACAAATTTCTTTTTGATAAGGACGGCATTCTCCAAAGGAAAGAATCGCATTTACTCGGTCTCCTGCCTTGCAAGGAAACACCGACAGGAACGACGGCAACAACATCCCCGAGAAAAACAACAACTACAACCACGACAAGGATTTCCTCATAGACGACGACGGCAATTATTTAATTTTTTTTATTTTATTATTATTATAATTAATTTTCTTTTATTTTTTTTTCATTTCTTTTTTATCTTTTTTCAGTTTTATTTTTTTCTTAAATTTTTTTCGTTGTTTTTTATTTTTTCTTTTTTTTATTATTTTTTGTATTATATTTTAGTAAAGAAAATATTAAATAAATCAAATTCGAAAAAATTTATAGTTTTTGTATTTATGGGTTAATCTCGCGTTCTTTTAGAACGCTCTTTCATGCATGCTGCATACCTTCTCAAGGAACGGTTCTTGATACATTCCAGGGATGTGATAAGGAATGATTGCATTGGAACAGTTCCAGAACGGTTCTTAATAGGTTCCTATGGAACGATTCTCGATGCATGCCAAATATGTGTTCTGTAATGCTTCTTTCGGAAAGTACAACTGGAAGCGAAACCCGAGCGTTTCACGAAGTTGAAATTACAACAACCACCAGTTCCCAATGCGTTCTAAAGGAACGGTTCCTACCTACTTCCAAATGTACCGGTGCTGGCGTGTTTCACCCTGTGTAATTTGGAAACCAAAACGTCATGTATAAATCACTGGTGCTTGCAGGAAAAAGAACCGCTCTAGAAGTGCTTCTTGGAAGGTATAAAGTCCGACTGGGAAGTCATCCTCGAGCAGGTATGGCCCGTGGACAAGACCCAGCCTGTGCCTGTTGTGAAGGATGCGCAGCGTCTGATCGAAATAATTTGGGAGGGACATCTGCGTTGCGCCTGCTATGCAAACGATACGCGCTTCGTCGAGAATCGCCCAGAGACCAGCAGTTGGGTGTTTTGTGTGAAGCACTTCTCCAAGTACGGCCTGGACGAGGACGATGACAAGATGACGCTCCATTCGTTGCGGCCCAGCGTGTATCCGAGCATATGCGGCACAAGGTAAATTTGCGGTTTGTCTGTTAATTCGTTGTGTTAATACAATGTTTTAAAAGCGACTGCAAGTATCTTGCACGCACTCGAACAATGGCGTTGGCCATTTTCTTGTATAGTTTATATTACGCAAATGAAAAGTTAACAAAACCAGCCGTCTGCAGTTTCTTATCGTTTTAAAGCAGACAGCTTTGGTACGGCTGTGATCATAACTATCGGAATTGATTCAGCCACTATCGATAGCACTGTCGTGTAAATTGGCGGTTTTTCTGTTACTTTTCAAATTTATTTTTCCCTAATTGGCATTTTATTAACTACAACGTTGCGCTATTTTTAATGTAAAACGTGCACACAGTTTTTTTAGTTTGCGAGCTCAATTGCGCTACAATTGATTTTAATTGATGCCGATGAGAAGTTCGCATTTCAATTAAATTTGTTGTTTGTTGTCGCTGTGAGTTTCCCTAGCGCAGAATCCCGACATCAGAAGCAGCAACAGTCAACAGAAGTAGTCATAGCAGACAGTAGACAGCGGACAGCAGACGGTGCTCAGATCTTATCACGGAATCGTGGTGTGGACTCACGTTGGGCAAATATATACCTGCATGGATATTGCTCATTTCAGCTGCCAACTATAGGTACATAAACAAGCGGGGATACACTGATCTGGTTGGTCTGGTAGTCTGTGCTCCATTTTGGGGTTCAATTAGGTTGCGCATAACGCTGCGGGCTGCGGGCTGCGGGCGCGTCTTTTTCTTCGAGGCTCTTATCTGTTTCCAAGGTAAGATAACAGATAACAGCAATTAGCCAGCGGCCAGCGGGCCATAAATACCCGCACAGCATCCATTCAGCGTTTCTCATTGTGGCCTCAGTGCAGTGCGCGCGGATTGCTGGATTAATTTTAGTGCGGAACAAAATCAAACTCATCGGAACAGGAACGGGCAGCAGGAACAGGTAGCAGGAACAGGCAGCAGGAACAGGAACAGGCAGCATCATGTGTCTACCAACGAATGTCGGCGGCCTGGCCATTCAGAGCGTTGCCACCGCGATTGGTGAGTGCCGCAGAACACTGCTGACGCACTGTGTCACCCCCCCCACTTACCCCCTAGGACGCGTGTGCTCCTCTCCCTCCCCCCCCACCAACTCAGGCAACCTGCTGTGCTTCAACTTCGGGCTGATGTTTGGCATTACACCGGCTCACATGGCCCTCTATGAATCGGAGACACAAACGCCGCTAAACAAAGCCACAGATGCAACGGGCACCGCCTGGCTAACGGGCTATCTGTTCCTCAGTGCGGCCATTGGAGCGCTGGTTTCCGGTGTGCTGGCGCTGCGCATCGGACCCAAATCCGTGCTGCTCTGGGCGGGCATGCTGCAGATTGTGAGTACCAATTGGGTTCATTAGACTGCGATTATTCACCGGAATTTTGCCGTTTGGTTTGCAGTTTGGCTGGTTCTGCATACACTTCGGCTTTGATATTGTGCACATTTATGCCTCGCGAATGTTCGCCGGTGTGGCAGCTGGCGGCGCTTTCGTCGTGCTGCCCATCTTCATTAACGAAATCTCGGAAACGCGCGAGAAGGCGGCACGGCTCACCTTCACCATCGAACTGTGGCGCACCACGGGCATACTGCTGGGCCTGCTGCTGGGCATCTATGTGCCCTACGATCTGGTCAACATTGTCGGCTGTGCGGTGTCCTTTGTGTTCACGATGACCTTCCCCTTTGTGCAGGAGAGTCCGCACTTCTATATGCGCAACGAGAATGTGGCCTGCCTGGAGAAGTCGCTGCGCTGGTATCGCGGCATACGCGACATTGACGATCGCGAAAAGCCCGCGTATCTGCAGGAGCTGCAGGAATTCAAGGCGGAGATGCGTTGCCTGGACAAGAACATTGGCTCGGCGCCCATGTCCCAGAGCTACATTGTCCGGCTGACCTTTGTCAGTCTGCTGCTCACCGTTTGCGCCAAGCTGAGCGGCGTCTTTGTGGAGCTCAACTATGCCTCCGATTTCCTGGGACGCACCGGCTACTCCATGGACACGAACTACATTGTGCTGGCCGCAGCTCAGTGTGTGGGCGCCATTCTGGCACGGTTCTTCGGGCCTCGTTTGCCGCGCAAGGTTTGCTCACAGGATAGCTGTACTCGCAGCTCTCAGCCGCTCACTCACCCACTCCACTCTGCTTTCAGCTGCTGCTTTGCCTCTCCTCGCTGATGTCGGCAGCGGCGGTTATTGCCTTGGCCCTGTTCAAGCAGTACGGCCTGCACTGGCACTCGGGCAACGTCTGGTGTGAGCGCTATCTGCCCATTTTCCTGCTGGCCATTCAGCTACTGTTCGTCAGCTTCGGCCTCTATCCACTGGCGGCGGTTGTCAGCAGCGAAGTGCTGCCCACAAAGGTGAGTTGTTGCCGCGCCTAAAAGCAGTTGCCTTACCCTTAACATAACTCACCTCACCAATTTGGCAGCTGCATGATGTGCTCTACTCGGTGGCCTCCGCCTTCGCCTGGCTGCTGCTTTTCGGCATGATTGAGGTGAGTGTAGCCACTGTTGTAGCTGTGGCACAGCATATTTGCATATTAATTATGGTGCAATGTGTGTTGCAGGCATTCAATGCGGTCAAGACCTCAATTGCCCCTGGGCTGGTGCTCTATCTGTGGGTATTCGCCGGCGCTTCCATATTTGTGGGTTTAATATCGTTGCCCCTGCTGCCCGAGACGCGCCATCGACGTGCATCGGCCGTGCAACGTGAACTGGGCTATGTGGACGATGGGGGCGTGGCCAAGGGTTCGGGCGTAACCAATGGCCACATTTCCACGCACATTTAAGGACACCACCCCCACCCCACCCTACGATAGTATGTATTAATAATAAAAAATATGTGTAGATTAATTACGAATTATACAAAAAAGTATGCAGCGATTTTTCATATTGCATACCCCCCCCCCATGAAATAACTGTTAAATATTTGATTCATTCACGGGATTCCATTCCGGTAGAAGGAAACGATTTCTTATCTGCCGCGACACTCTTTCGACTCTTTTGCTACTCTCTGCAGTATGTTTGTTGGCAGATCATATAAATCTTATCTGGCTTTGGGGTGGAACTGCCTTTTAGTTAGTGATTAGCTGAGCAAAAAAAAAAAAAAACCACGTCTCGAACGTTACTATTACGAAATGTTGGCATCTATGAGGGACACACACGCGTTGATATCTTTCAACTGCCTCAAATCTACACTGCAAGAAAATAATAATAAACATGAGTAATATCTTTACGATACGAGATTTGAAAATACACCAAGGAGTATTAAAATATACGACTGCCCCTAACTTGCGCATGAAATGTACTGCAAAGCATTTATATTTATATTTCACTTTCGTTTTCTGTTGAAGCGCATGCTTTTGGCACGACTGCCACGAACATGTTTCAGTGCGTTTTGTGCGCGCAGGTAGCAGACAAGAAGACACGACAAAAAAAAGGTTTCTCGCTGCTCTGCCGAGCAGAATAACGAAGCGCACAGGCCGAAGCCACACGAAGCTTTTACGCCTGGTGCGTGTGCCGACTGCGCTGCCACGAGACATCTGGCATGCGACGCTACCTGCCCTCTGCCTTACATACATATATCATCCTCATGATCACTCACTCAGTCACATTCTCCTTTTGGCACGCATTTGTACTTTCGCTTGGCGAGCAAACAGAGACGGAGACCAAAGCTAAGCTGGCCAAAGCGTAATCCAAATGTAAGCTTTTAAGCTGTGCAGATTGCAGGACGGGAGAGACAGAGAGAGAGAGAGCGCGACGAGTGTTTGCCTTGGGTATCTCTGGACAGTGGCAAATATTTGAGACTTATTAGTATGTAATTTACAATCGCAATGCCTAATCTCGCTCTCGCTCACACTCGCTCGCTTTGTTGTGCTTGTGTGCTGATACTGCAAATTGCTCTCAGTCTTGCTCTCTCATTACAACTGGCTATCAAATCAGGAAAATGGGCATTAAAAAATGTCATTCAGTGCAATTATGATTGTAAATAATCCCACAGTGGGTTAGCAACAACAAATTTGCATTCACACCCCAGGGGCAATATTTTACTAGTTCTAGTTCTAGTTTAGTTTAAGTACTTTAGTTTAAGGCTCTTGCCCACGCTCTCTCTATAATTTTACTGCGAGCATAATGAGGTGCGCTGATAACGGCATATATGTAGTACCCCGTCATACCGTCGTACCCGTCGTAATCTACACAGTTTTGCGCTCCCTGTGCGCGCATTCTCTTTACAACATGGCTCGCTCGCTCCGCTCCGCTCCGTTCCGTTCCGCTCGCTCGTGTTCATTTTACGATCTAGTGCAATGTGCTTATAAATATTATCATCCAGCCACTGGTTTCGCTTAGTTAAGCGTGAAAACTTCGAGCAACCAGCAACGAGAGGACACGTCGTGCTATGCATTTAATATACTTAATATAATTTAATCGGTTGCGCAAAAAAATAGCATACAAAATAAAATGATTTCTTCGGGTAGTGCCAAACACCAATATCTGGCTGCCATAAGTGGTTAGTAAACTTGAAGTGAACGTGCGTGAGAGTGCTCTAAAGGATATTCCACTGGCATACAAATTTCATTTTGGGCTCCATTCCATGTAGCATACGTTTTGGCGCAAAATCAGGATATTTAATTGCCATCTAATCCTAATCCTAATCCCAATCCCTGTCTCTGCTCTCCATCCCAGTAAATATTGTGTCCATATCGTATGGCGCATTTTGTGGCTGGCCCTCGGCCAGTTTCCTGGAACTGGGCGGCGAGGATAGTCCTTTGGCAACGGGACCATTAAGCAATCAGGATCAGGGCTGGGTGGCATCCACCGTATGCATTGGTGGACTCTTCGGCGGCATTCTGTTCGCCTGGCTGGCGGAGAGGATCGGCAGGCGATGGTCGCTGCTCTGGCTGGCCGTGCCAAATCTGGTAAACGAATCGAAAATCAAGTGCATCGATTAAGTGAAAGCTGAGGCTTATCTATCTCGTTTATATAGATTGGCTGGATTATCATACCATTTGCCAGCACGCCAACGCACTTGATTGTTGCTCGCTTCATTGGCGGCGCCGCGGGCGGTGGCTGCTTTTCGGTGATACCAATTTATATAGCCGAACTGGCATCGGACAGGTAAGACCACCCACAGTCAGCAGTGCCCATAGATTTCATTCACAATTTCCTGCAGTGTTCGCGGCGTTCTGGGCACTTTCCTGGTGCTCACCTGCAATGGCGGTGTCGTCTTGGCCTTCGTGCTGGGCTACTACTTTGACTATGCCACAGTGTCCTGGCTGGTCTCCACCCTGTCCTTTGTGTTTGTGGGCTGCTTCTGGTTTATGCCAGAGACGCCACAGCATCTGGCCAAGCAGAATCGCGTGCAGGAGGCTGAGCAGTCGCTGCGCTATTATCGCAATATACGCATCAGTCCCGCCACCGAACTCAGTGAAGATCTCAAACTGGAGCTGGAAAAACTGAAGCCCACGGAAAAAACCGATCTCGATGCCAAGGATGACAATGCGGAGGACGAAAACGCCGTCACGTGGGCGGATTTTGGTGAGTTAAAACAGAACCAACAAGCTGTCGGGTCTCAAAATCTATCTGTTTCCGTGGCGGAGCAGCTGATGCCAAGGTGCGCAAAGCCTTTCTCCTGGGTCTCGGCCTCGTCACGTTCAATCAGCTGTGCGGCTGCTTTGCGATGGTCAACTATACGGCTGTGATTTTTGAGCAGGCTGGCGCCAGTCTGGCACCCACCGTCTCGGCCATTATTGTCGGTTCGATACAGCTGCTCGGCACCTACACGTCCACGCTGCTGGTGGAGCGATTGGGTCGCAAAATACTGCTGCTTGTGTCGGCCGTGGGCATTGGCCTCGGCCAGAGCGCCATGGGCAGCTACAGCTACCTGAAGGTGCTGGACTACGATGTCAGCTCGTACGGCTGGGTGCCCGTTGCCGGCTTCTCCTTTATGCTGCTGCTGGCCGCCAGCGGACTGCTGACGTTACCCTTTCTGGTCATAGCGGAGATACTGCCGCCCAAAATACGCAGCACAGCGAATATGATACTGATGTCGGTGCTGTGGGTGATTGCCACAGCCGCCATTAAGGTGTGTTTTGGTTCCTTTTGATTTTACTTTCACTCTAAATATTTATGCTATTTTATATCGCTTAGTTGATGCCCCTGTTTACAGCCACACTGGGCATGCACGGCACTGTGTTCATGTTCGCCAGCATGTCCTTTAGTGCGGCGCTGTTCATTGCCATATTCGTGCCCGAAACCAAGGGCAAGACCACTGAAACCATCTTGGCCAATCTCTAGTATTAAAATTAATTTTAAATGATTTGTTAATGTTTTTTTTTATTAATATATATATGCAGGGGCGACAGACACGCAGCTTCCAGCATTAATTGTAATTGTTTGTCTGTCTTTAAGTGCTCTGAGTGCCTTGATCTTTCACAGCTATCGCTTCCACACGCTTCCCTAGCAAAACTCTTTGATTAGATAAGATAAGGATGCGATAAGGACCAAACCACACAAGGCAGCAGCAAAAGTTGTCGCTGGGCAATTAACAAATTCGTGTGGCTGATGCTCTTTATAGCCTTGATTAATGGGCAGCATTAGCAAACGGTAAGAATCAGCATGATGCTCTCCGCACACAAAATCAAATGAATAATTTCTATCATATTCGCACATATTATATATTATTACATATTAAATCAGCTTTATTTTGTTACATATACATATGAGAATTTGCCATTTTCTATCAACTATTTTATTTCTATTATTAGTTACATGTATAGCAAATCGTGTGTGCATTCATTTGTGCTTGCACTATTTTGCTGCTCGTAAAATCTATTTACATTTAGGTGGAATATATTAAATATATATATATTATATTTAATTTAATATTACCAGACTGGCATTCAGTTTTAATCCTGTAAAACACACGCAAGTCTGTCAGATATTTATGGAAAAGCTCTTACGGCTTGATGCTTGTTATTTTAATTAAAATGAGGAATAAGTATACATATGTATGTGTGCACTGTACAGGGCAGCAGCGCTGTTAGCATTCTGGGGATAACAGCCGGTTGCCGCTCTGGCTAACAGCGTACTGTCAACTCGCTGCTCGCTTGCGATCCACACGACTCTCCCTCCAGCATTGACGCTAGCTGTAAGCTGCAACGATGGCAACGTTGAAACGGGCGTGTTATATTCCTTTGTACCAGTATCGAATACAAATATATACATATATTTGTTACCAAGCCAACAGCTCCGTCTATTTGTTCTGGTGATTCGGGACTTTACATTGCCAGGAAGGAAGGCATCCTCCCACAAAAATGTACCTCAAACGTAGCCTACTAATAGGAGGCACAGGAGAAATAGGAGGGAAATACTCTTCAAATGTGATTCCATTCCTCCTATGGCAAATGTTATATTGTTTATTCCAGCGGATTGTTTTGGGGTAGCAATAAGGGTTCCTGTTTCAGTCATCTCTTTGAAAGGCTTTGATCTGTTTGGCATTCTACAATACAAATTATCATCGAGACAGCTCCCCAGGCTTGGATAAGTGTTGATTTTTGACAGTGTCAAACATGCTTAGGGGTACGAAAATAAAACTAAAAGAATTATATATGATTTTCTTCAATACAAAAAGCATTCAAGCACTAAAGATTATTTATCCGTTCTGATGATCAGTTCTTGCGATTCTAGACCACGAACATTTAAGTTTTATTTGCACTGGAAGACTGAGAATAATGCACTTTGGGCTGTCGGAATATACCGAAAGGATTCTACACGAAGCAACGTACCGAAATCGTAGCCTACTTATAGGAGCCCAAAACTAAGTGCCTGAGAAATTTCTAGTTAAATCTTTTACTTAATTTTACTGCCAGAGACAAGCCTCTTTTTTTCGTGAAATCGCAAGTAATTGTTTGACTTGTGAAATGACAAACTTAATCTATATCTTGCTTGAGCACAGAGCCACGGAGTGCTCGTATACTCGTATTTATTGTCAATTTATCTTTAGGATGCTCTCACACCTGAGGCCCAGACAAAACGAAAACACAATTCAAAGTGCACAGCAAATTGAGGCACCATGCCAGAGCCAGTTCCAAGCTAAAGCTGCACCCAATAATCTCGAATACAGCGTGGACATAAAGTTTACAGTCGAAATATTCCGCGAGCTTTTTGGCTTTGTTGTGGCATATTATAAGTACGGCGTGAAGCATTCGCCTGCAGAGGCTACCCGGTGGAAGACTGCAAAAATGTCGAAAATATTTCAGAATTCGCTGCTGCAGCGCAGCACACGCTACCAGCTGCTGGCCACAGTGATCGGTGAGATTAAAGGCTCCTCCGTTGGGGCATTATTTATTATTTCTTTATTAATTTCGTGCACAGTGAACATCATCATGTTTGGCCATGGCATTGGCGTGGGCTGGCTATCGCCGACGCTGACCAAAATCCAAACAGCCGATTCCCCCTTGGAGTTTGCTGTGAACATCGCTGAGATCTCCTGGCTGGGCTCGATGCTCGGTCTGGGCAGCCTGTGCGGCAATCTGATCATGGCCACGCTCCTGGAACGAGCGGGCAGAAAGTTTTGCATTTATTTAATGGCTGCACCGAATGCGGTGCGTAATTTATTTATTTAAAAAGATTTTAGCAGCGAGATTTGCTTTTGCCGTTTGCTTTTACTCGTACAGTGCTTGTGGATTTTTATTTATTGCGCCTCCAGTGTGGGTCATCTGTATGCGGCGCGTTTCCTGTGCGGCTTTACGGGCGGTGCTGGCTACGTGGTCATACCCATTTTCATCAGTGAAGTTGCCGATACCAGGTGAGCCGAAAAACCCCCCGCCCAAATTGATCCCAACCAAGTACAAGAATATAAAGTGTATGGCTGCAGGATTCGCGGTGCGCTGAGCTCTATGGTGATGCTGTCCGTCAATCTGGGCATATTGGCTGGCTATATATTGAGCGCATATCTGCCGTACCACCTTGTGCCCTGCTTGGGCATATTGCTGCCCATTTGCTACTTTCTGGCCAATTGTCTGCTGCCCGAAACGCCGCCATATCTGCTGAAGCGCAGCCAGCTGAACGCAGCTGAGAAATCGTTTCAGTACTATGGAAATCTGCGTGCAGAAACAGCCAGCTGCCAGTTTGAAGAGCTGCGATTGGCTGTGCTGGCCCAGCAGTTGCAGCACACCACAAGCTCCCCGAGCTACAGCGATTTGAGTGAGTTGCGGCGCCCAAAATTACAGCTCAAATAATAATCGGTGGGATATTCGCTTAGCTAACCGGCCCGCGCTGAAGGCTTTCGGGGCTGCCGCTGTGCTGTGCATGGGCTATCAGTTCAGTGGCGTCTTCAGCTTCATCAACTATATGTCCGATATATTCGCGGCCTCTGGCTCGCTGCTGGATGTCAACAGCTGCACCATTATCATTGGCGTAGTGCAGATTGTGGGCGTGTATACCTCCACGATATTCGTGGACATTGTGGGCCGACGACTGCTCATGCTGCTGTCCACTCTGGGCGTCGGTCTGGGCTGCATCGCCTTCGGCTGCTTCACCCACTTTGCCCAGCTCCACGATCTCAGCGCGTTCAACTGGCTGCCACTGGCACTGATGATACTCATTGTGTACCTGGGCAACATCGGACTCATTGGCATCTTCTTTCTGGTGCTGGTCGAACTGTTTCCCTCGAAGGTAAGGCCTAAGCCTCTTGATCGGGGAATTGCCACTAACTCGAACTCTCTTTTTAGATACGCTCCCTGGCCAGCTCCATTTCGGTGATATTTCTGAGTCTGCTCGTCTTTTGTACGCTGAAGCTATTCCCTTTGCTGCTACACTTTTGGGGCATATCGATTACCATGTGGTTCTCGGCCATTTCGGCTCTGCTCACGTTTGTTTACTTTTTGCTGTTTTTGCCCGAAACCAAGGGAAAATCTATGATTGAAGATTAAAATGAGAACTTTTATCTAAGTGTTTTTTCATTCTGCTGAGTGGCTGTAAATGGCTTGGGGTTTATCTCTGCCTGGCGATAGCACATAAGCCCACAAGGGGGCAACATACACTGGCAGGCGCATTCAGTTTGCAGTTTCCAGCGCAGCCATGACGTTTAATTTGCGGCTGGCGTCGCTCTTTGACGATCCCAACTGCCTGCTGAGTGCCCGGAACCGCTATCAACTGCTGGTCACACTGCTGGGTAAGCCAAACGAACTCTTGGGCAACATTTTTGGCTGAGCCTTGCCTTGCATTCCCCCCCACCACCCAGTGAACATTGCCACCTTCTCGCATGGCCTGGGCGTGGGCTGGATGTCCCCAGTGATGAGGCAACTGCAAACAGCAGACTCTCCGCTGGACTTTGCAGTGCTTGTGCACGAGATATCCTGGATTGGTTCGCTCGTGGGCATTGGCAGTGTGTTGGGCAATCTGCTGGCGGGCACGCTCCAGGATCGCATTGGCCGCAAAATGGTCATGTTTGGCATTGCCATTCCCTATGCGGTGAGTGAAATCGTTGCACGTTTATGTGTATGGAGTGTGTGGAGTGTCATTTCCTGTTTGCCGTGCTGCTTTCAGATCTTCTGGTGTCTCATTTACTTTGTGCAGAGTGTGGAGTATCTGTATGTGGGTCGCCTGATGGCCGGCATGACTGGCGGCGCCTGCTACGTCGTGCTGCCCACTTTCATTAGCGAAATTGCGGATAGCCAGTGAGTGTTTTTTACGTAGTGGAGTAACGAAGAATTTCAATGAGCTTGTCTACCAGCATTCGCGGTCGCTTGGGCTCCATGATCTTGCTGTCCGTGAACAGCGGAGTGCTCACCGGCTACATTGTGTCCACGACGGTTGACTACTTCACGGCGCCACCTTTCATTGTCGCCCTGCCGATCTGCTACTTTATCTGCAATTTCCTGTTTCCGGAGACGCCGCATCATCTCATACGCCAGGGTAAGCTGGCAGCAGCTGAGAAATCCTTTCGCTTCTACAAGAACATCCAAAGCGAGGACATCAAGGCGCAGCGCGAGTTCGAGCAGCTGAAGTTGGCGCTGAACAAGGCGCAAGCACAGAGCGACATGTCCTTCAACTACAGGGATTTCAGTGAGTAGCAAGGCGGCCTCATTTTGGGTGCTGTGGCCCCAGGTAACAACAGGCTTTCGTTTTATGCAGTCACCAGGCCCGCTCTGAAGGCCTATGCCCTGGCCCTCACCCTGCTCGTGTGCAACCAATTCAGCGGCAGCTTCTGCATCACCACCTACCTGTCGGACATCTTTGCCGCCTCGCACACCACCCTGGACGTGGGCATGTGCACCATTGTGATTGGCGTGCTGCAAATCGTGGGCAACTATGTCGCGACGCTGCTCTGCGACAAGTACGGACGCCGGATTCTCATGCTAGTCTCCAGCGCGGGCGCGGCTGTGTGCCTGGCTGCCTTCGGCTGCTTCACCCACCTGGCCAGCAGTCGGGATCTATCGGCGGTGGGCTGGCTGCCCCTACTCATACTCTGCTGCTACGTGTTCCTGTGCAACATTGGCATGGTGGGCTGCCTGTTTGTGTTGCTCGTGGAGCTGTTTCCAGCCAAGGTGCGCACGATTCGATTCGATGCCATGCCAACTATATATGCACGCTAATGCTTGGCTATTCCTTTTTGCAGATCCGTTCCGTGGGTGTATCAACGTTTGTGGTGATTCTCAGCTCCACAGTTTTTCTCACACTCAAAATCTTTCCCATTTGTGTGTCGGTCTGGGGCATTTCCGTGACCATGTGGTGCTGCAGTGTGATTACGTTTTGTTGCTTTCTCTGCTTCAGCTGGAAGCTGGAGGAGACCAAAGGCAAATCGCTACTGGAGGCTTAGTTAATTTACGGCACAACTTATCAGCGTGTGAGACATTGCGCACCTGTGTGTGGGATTAGCCTAAGCTCAGGGAATTTATCTTTACGGGCCATGGGGTATACTTGTGATACTTAAGTTGATTGCACCCAGCGCCTGAACTTCACAGTGATCAAAGATATCTTGACAATGCGACAACAGCCAGCAGCGAGCAAAAGAGCCAATAAAGAATTAGGAAATTACATTACAAAAAATATAGCACTTAATTTTAAATTTTAAACTAAATTTCGAACAATGTTCGGGCGACTCTTTGCGCGTGCCGATTGCCTATTGAATCGCCGAAATCGCTACCAATTGCTGACCACACTGATCAGTAAGTATCCGATAGATATCGACTTGATGCCGATACTGATACATACCCCGCAGTTAATTTAATATCTGTCTCGCATGGCATTGGCATTGGCTGGCTGTCGCCCACACTGCGCAAGCTGCAGTCGAACTCGCCCATTGGCTTCGAGGTGAACTCGGAGTTTGAAATCTCGTGGGTGGGCTCCATGCTGGGCATGGGCTCGGTGACGGGCAACATACTGATTGGCACGCTGCTCGGTCGCCTCGGCAGCAAAAGATGTCTGCTCTTTCTGGCCATTCCGCATTCCGTAAATTACCAATTACAAATTGCAAATCATATTTGCAGGCCCTTATTTTTCATGTGTGGTGTGTCCTTTCAGTGCCTGTGGTTTTTGGTCTACTTTGCCCAGAGTGTGGAGTACCTGTATGTGGGCAGACTTCTGGCTGGCATCACTGGCGGCGGCATGTACATTGTTCATCCCATTTTCCTCAGCGAAATCTCAGATGCCAAGTAAGTAGCGATGATTTATTGTACGCTAACAAAAGATAAGTTCTCGGGCAACAACACTCCAGAAACTAATCGAAATTGAAACGCTTAATCGCTTACAGCATTCGCGGCACCTTCTCGGCCATGGTCATGCTGTCGGTGAATGTGGGCGTGCTGGTTGGCTACATTGTGGGCACTCATCTGCCCTACTACGACATACCCTGGATGGTGTTGGCTCTGCCGCTCTGCTACTTCATTTCCGTGCTGCTCTTCATACGCGAGTCGCCCATGCATCTGATACGCATGGGCAAATTCGCAGCAGCCGAGCGATCCTTCAGATACTACAAAAACATCAAGCAGCGGGACAACATAAACGAGCAGCAACGTGCCCTGGAGGAGTTCGAGCAAATGAAGCTTGCCCTGACCAAAGGCGATGATCAGCAAGATGCCGTCACACTCAAGGATTTTTGTAGGTTTATTCAATTTTGTGAATTTTTCTTTTGCAAGTTGCTGAATGTGTGCCCCGTTTTTTCAGTGTCACGTCCTGCACTCAGAGCCTATGGTCCGGCGCTGGTGCTGCTGATTGCCAATCAGTTTAGCGGCCTCTTCACCATGGTCAACTATATGTCTGATATATTCGCCAGATCGGGCAGCACCATGAATCCCGATACCTCCACCATCATTATCGGCGCCGTGCAGATCCTGGGCAGCTATGTGACCACGCTGCTGTGCGATATCTGTGGCCGCAAGCTGCTCATGCTCGTGTCCACAGCTGGCGTGGCCATCAGCCTCATATCCTTTGGCTTTTTCACCCACTACGCCCAGTCGTACGATCTGAGTGCGTGGAGCTGGCTGCCGCTGGCGCTCATGTCGCTGGACATCTTTCTGGGCAACATTGGGCTGGTCGGCTGCTTCTTTGTCTGCCTCGTCGAAATATTTCCGCTTAAGGTGAGCCCAAAATTTCAATTCCAAATCGATTTGGAACCTTTAATTATTTTGTATTCATTTTGTAGATACGTGCCAAAGCCGCTTCGATGGCAATTGTCCTTTGCAGCAGCTTTGTTTTCGTTATGCTTAATATTTTCCCCATTTGCATGCGGCAATGGGGCATTTCGGCCACCATGTGGTCGTGTGGTGGCGTCTCGGCCTTCAGCTTTATTTTCTTTGCATATTTCCTCAAAGAAACCAAGGGCAAGTCTATGCTAGAAGACTGAATAAAAGTGGGGGCGCAGCTTAAAGCTATTAAATGTCACCTGAATGTTGAGTAAAATGCTGCATTTATTTATTACTTTTAGTTACTTTAGTCACGCACTTTGACTTTTGCCATTCACAGCTGAAAGCATGCCAAGCACCCTTGAAATTCGTTATATAAAGTATGCTGGCGCAGCATTTATACCCAGGACTCACTGTGTCAATGTCAAAAAAAAAATATGTTCCCTTTAGCTTTGCATATTTTTCGACGACCTTTCATAGCAGCTGCTTCTATAGAACCTTTCAGCTGCCATAGAAATGAAAATTCGTGTAATTTTTTTGTACAACATTATTTTTTTTTTAATCTACTGCTTTTGCCCCTTGATTATCGCATTCCTTTTATGTCATTAAAAGTGAAGTTGCTGACAAAAAAAAAAAACTATATAAAAACCAAAATGCAATGCATCTGTGCTGCTGCGCTTCTGGCTACTCAACTAACTGAAAGTCCGCTGCACGTCCGTTGTGGCCAAAATGGAAATTTCTGTGCAGTCTGGGCAACAGCTTGAACGTTAATTCTGATGTTTCCGCTCAGTTTGCAGCAGGAACAAAAAATATAATTGTGGCATTTAATCCTTGACATTTTCAAACGAAAAAATGTTTCATTAAATGAATCAAATTAAATTTTTGTAAATTAAATTTTGTAAATGCCATTTAAAATCCCTGAACACTTTTTCGTTCCCTCGCAAATCGAAACCCCCAAGCGTATTAATTATTTAAATGAAAACTAATAGTTTGTGGGATTTGTTTTCTGCTTACATTTTGCATGTACAGTAATTGTATATTTAAATAAATTTAATTACATATAATTAGTTAATATAAACAAAATACAATTTATGCCTTAATTTCATACAATTGCTTGATTATGTGATTATGTGTGTGTGTGTTGGTGTGTGTGTTTTTTTTTTCATTTTTCCATTTCTAATATGTGTGGCTCGGACACATTTCACTTTTGCTTTTGCAGCACTTCTCAATTTAAAACTAATTAAAAAACTAGCATACTAAATCACAGTGTTTTTTCCCAAGCGAAAAAAAAGTTTGCAAAAAATTCTACAAAATATATTACTAGCGTTTGTTTTTGTTTTTTGTTTTTGTGTGTGTTTCATATCATAATTAAATTTACAATTTATATGGATTTACAAATTTACACACATACATATATGTAGATGTGTGTTTGGCCAGGCGGGGGGGTACTTTAAAACGTACATTAAAACATACTCTACTCTGTCCACTCTACTCTCCTCTCTGGGTATGCTGCAGCAAATTATAATTTAAACGGCTAACAAATAAAATGCATAAAACAAAACAAATATTTCCGTTTACAGATGGCCCCCAACCATTGCCCAACACTTCTCGTAGATATCCAAGTAATAGTAATAATAATAATAATAGTTGCTGGGGCGTGTGCACTAATAATAATAATAGGTAGGTAATAATAAATGGTGTGAAAAAAGTAAACTGAATCACAAAAAAATTGGCGCACTTTAGCAAACAATTTGTTCCGCATTACATATCACTGGTTCTATGTGCTCGTAGCGGGGAAATATATCTATATATCTATATATCCTCCTCCATGGATATCACGTCTTTTTGGGACAACGCAAGTAGCGCAGCACCGCATAGCCCAGGCAGCGGAACACCAGCAGGAACATCATCAGTATGAGCGTATTCAGCCAGAGCGGTGACGTTGAGTTTTGTGCTTTGAGTATTTCCTCATATGGAATGAATTCGGTTGTCTGCTGTTTGCATATCTCATAGCTACTAGGCGTGCCGCATCTGCATTAAATCAGCACAAGTTCTCATCAGATTAAAGGCGTTAAAAACAAAGAGGGCTAAAAAGGAGGAGCATACCTAACGGCTGGACCCTCGCGAAACTCCAGTATCTGCATATTCTGATAGGCATAGTGGATCATGGATGTGTAGCGTATCCAGCTGAGACCCTCCGGAATGCGTGACGACAAATAGCCGCCAAAGAGCTGGGTGGCCAGCGTATAAAGGGCACTCAGCGTAATGCTCACATTCATGTCCATGCAGCAGGCACCAATAAAGAATCCCACGCTCTGGGCCACAATCGTATTGATCAGCAGAAAGATGAGCATCAGGAAGAACAATTTTAGGCTGTAAATGGGAGAGTTGCAGGCTGAGATTAGTTTATGCTGCTCTTTGATACACCAAATAGAAATCTTACCTTGTGCAGCCCAGCATGGGATAGCTTATCATGAGGTAGACAGTGGGCAGGGTGACCACCAGCGGCAGTTCGGCACACATTTTGGCCAGATAATAGGCAGACAGCCGATAGGCGCCCGAACGCCGCTCCTTGCTGATGACCTCACGCTCCGAGGGGACTATCCAAAAAAAAAAAGATTAATTAAAACATAAGAAGAAAAAACATATTCAGCTACCAGCACTCACATGAATTGAGTGCACCGAACAATGCAAAGAGCATCCAATAGGTCTGCGAGAAGAACATCCAGCCCTGCAGGTCGTGCAGGAACTCCTCGGTGCGTGGCAGCTGGAACCAAATGGCGCCCGCCATCAGTGCCAGACCGATGGTCTGGAACCAATTCAGCTTGGAGAGCATGCGTGGCTTGGCCTCCTTAAAGTTGCGGCTGGACAGGACACAGAACTGGGTGCGAAAGCTTGTGGGATATGACAGCCAGTCCTCGTCGCCGTTCGGCACACTGCCGGCACTGTACGAGTGACAGTCGCTGGAGGCACAGGAACTGAAGTTTGACTGCGAGTCGGCACCGCACCAGACCAAATGTTGCGCCGCCTCCTCATCCTCCTCCACCTGACAGCCGCTGCTGGTGTGATGTAGATTTTCGTATTGGTGATGATGATGATGATGTTGGTGATGCTGATGATGATGATTGTGATGATGATGGTGTGGCTGGTGGAGACTGTGGTGATGCTGATTGTAGTAGTTGTTGATTATATCATCGATTAGAATGCTATCCGGTTGCTTTTTGGCCTTGGACTCCTCTCCGCTGGGCTGGAGGCTGCTGCTAATGCAATTGCGATTCAAGTAGTTGCCATGAGATTCCTTGGCCGCTACGAACAGCTTCTCGCGTATATCCGGATGGGACTTCAGTTGCTCCACTGCAGGAGAAACGACGAAATGTGATTAGATTTCACGTAAAACATGTGTGTGGAGTGCTTTAGGCACTTACAGACAAAGTCAGCGGGATTGTAGTGCGGCTTGATGGTCACACCGATATCCTCGAAATGCCTGTAAATGTTGTGCACATCCCCAAAGTAGGCGGTGCGACCCTGATGCAGCAGCAGCAGCTTGTCAAACATATGGAACATCTGCGACGACGGCTGGTGCACGCTTATCACAATTGTCTTCTGCTCCAGCTGTGCATAGCGCTTGAGCACCTTCATCAGCGAAATGGCAGAGTGGCTGTCCAGCCCAGAGGTGGGCTCCTAAAAGAGAAAGAGAAGCTTTCAGTTTAAGAGAGAGCCATAGAGAGAGATAGGGAAAGACCACTTACATCCAGGAGCATGAGCAACGGATTGGTCAGCAGCTCGCAGGCTATGTTCGCCCGCTTCTTCTCGCCGCCGGACAGACCCCGATTCAGATAGTCCCCGAAACGTGTCTGCTGGCAGCAGCCCAGCTCCAGGGCCTCCAGTATGTGATCCACCTGGCGCATCTTCTCCGCCCGCGGCATGGACTCGGGCAGACGCAACAGCGCCGTGTACACCACCGTCTCCCTGAGCGTTAGCTGCGGAAAGAAGATCTCCTCCTGCAGCACATAGCCGATCCGGCGACGCCATTTCTTTGAGAGCGGCTCACGGTTGAGGAAGACGCTGCCGCTGTCGATGTGCCGCTGTCCGCTGAGGCAGTCCAGCAGCGTGGTCTTGCCGCTGCCCGAGGGCCCCATCACAGCCAGCACCTCGCAGGGACTGCAAAGAGCATGAGAGCAAGAGAGAGAGAGAGAGAGAGGGGGGAGAGAGAGAGCGAGAGCGAGCCCAGAGTAGAAGCATGCAAGCATGAGAGATTACGGTTAGTTCATTGGTTCACTGGGTCTCTGGTTCTTGTTCGTTCTGGTTTTAAATACCCTTGCAGGAGGTACTATAGAGTTCGGCCGAAGCTTGCGACACATGGAAGGAAATGTAGAAAAACTCATATTACGGATACTCATCAATGGAGAAGTCGTTCTAGCGTTCTATCTTTCCCCTTTCTGGCATTCGATATATGCGACTCTTCCCATATGTACAATAAGACAATAAATTATCAATCGAAAAGAGCAACTATTAAACTGTACAAAAACTTGTTCGCCTGCAAGGGTATTTACACTTCGGCATAGCCGCAGTTAGCTTTCTTCCAGTGCTCGGTTTACTTGTTGGCTCGTTTGTTGTTTCTGTTACCTGACAAATCCACTCACATCGGAAAGTATTTTGCGTTCGTTGTGCAAGACATTCAGATTCTGAAAGGTTAACTGTAGCGTGGGTGGGGTGGGCTGCTGATGCTGTGGCTGCTGTTGTGGCGTCCCAGCTGTGGTTGCAATCGGTGCAGGGCCACTCAGGAAGGGATAAGCCAAAGCTGCTGGCGTGCCACTGCAAATGTAAATCAAACAAAATTGTTTAGTTATTGAGGCGCAAAGATATATGATACATATATGAATAAAGATTTGGTTCACGGTAAATCAACTTTTGCGTTATCGTTTCAATTGCATTATTTTGGTGGAGCGGAGCTTTTCCGCAAGTACAAAAATCTTTTGTGCAAAAGTCAATGTACCCTGTTCCCGCGCGGACAGGCAAAAGTAAAATCAATGCAACAAAAGTTCTGCCAGCTCTCCCGTCTCCCTTGCACAATAAACTGTGTCTCGGCTCAGGTACCCCTCCTCCAAGCAAGAACCAAGCCAGAGTTCTCACTGTCAACTGTTATCGGAAATATCACATGTGTGGCGGTCGCATTATCACTCTCCCTCGCTCACACACACGCACCAACGCACCAACACTCAGAGACGCGTAAAGAGAGCGTGAGCTTAGAGCGTGAGTGTAAGCTGTGCGCTGTGCGTGCTCTCTGATTCGTACCCTGCAGTCGTGGCAAAGCAAAGGCTTATTGGCTTTGTTTAACATTATGAAACAGCAAAGAGGAATTTGCTTTTTTAGCTAGCTTACAAAATGGATTAAGCTTGTGGTAGGTTATATATATATGAAGTTATATAAAAATAAATATTATATTTATTGTCTTCTCATTGTGAGGACGTTTCGCCTTCTACATCCAACTAGAGGGTAACTTCTAGTATATATGTTAACTATTCGATCTTGCTTATTTCCCTTTGCCCGACTCACGACTTCACTCCTACTACACACACAAACACACGCAGTGGGACGCGACTGGGAGGTAGACGCAGCAGAGAGTCAATAGCCTCTGCGGACGGACGGACTTGCATGGTGCGCCAGTTCTCTCTTCTTTTCTCTTGCTGCTGCTGCTGCTGCTGCTGTTGTTTCTGTTGTTTGTGTACCCATCAAATTTATTTAAATATTTTCTTTGGCTGAAAGTTGAAGCTGAAAAACATTCCAAATAAAGAGAGAGAGAGAGACTATAGATAACACCGTTATAGTTATAACATCTATTTCTGGATCAGAAATCCAATCAAAAATCAGCAGCAGAGGCAGAATCCGCAGTAGCAGAAACAGCATCATCAAATTATTCCACAATAACAAAAAAAAAATTTAATTTACAAATTATACAGATATGTAAATTTTTGATTGACTCCTCCGTTCGTCCGTTCCGTCGGTCGGTAGGCGCCCAAAGTAAATAGAGAGCCGCGTCGAGTGCATTGAACCGCACTGTGCGTGAGTGCGAGGGAGAGCAGGCAGCCGGTGACAGCAGCAACAACAAGAACAGCGACAGAGAATGAGAATGAGACGTCATGCCCAAGTGGGGGTCAATGCAGTCAGCGTCGGGAGAGGAGAGAGAGCAGACAACAACAACGCCAAACAAAGCCAATGTGCGCGCACAAACACACTCACGCACACTCATGCACACAGACTGCATGCAAAGTATGCGAGGAATACGTTTAATTATACCCTGTACAGGGTGCGCAGGGCGCACAGTGGAATAATTCTTTAGCCATCTGACAGGAGCAAGCACAGTTCCGGCCAATATCCTTTGGTATGTCTCTGTCAGTCTGTCCGAGGGCCAATCACTATCGCTTTAACGAAGGCCAGCAGCCACGATAGGAAACAGAAAACTAAATCAATTATAGCACACGACATGACATGTTAGTAGTGGGTATCCAGTCTGAATAACGGCTACAAAGTTCTTAATTGATTTTATTTTACTAATTTTCTTTTTTTTCGTGCTGGTGCTGACGGCTGTTGCCTGTCTGACTGCACGGTAAAATTGGCTCAGCCAATATCCGGGTTTGATAGGGAGCCGGAAAATAACTAATTATAAATTCCTAGAGGCAGCTAACACATGTAAATATCAAAGCTAAAGTTGAGCCTTAATTTCTTAGTTCCTGTCTTAATTTTAGTAGTAAAGAATATTCGACATTAAATCAACAATAGGAACTTGTAACATTTTAACATTTTTTTTTGTTGCTTTCATAATTTAAATTGAATTTTTCAATACGCAACGAGTTTAATTTCGCGACACACAAAAACAAAGTATTGAGTTTTAAACAATTTTAGCTGCCAATTCTTTTATTTTTTTCCGTTTATATTGTCGAGTTTTCTACTCGTATTTTATTGGGTTTTGTTTTCGATGTCCAAAGCTTAAATACTTTCGCTCGTGGACCAGACGCTAGACGCTTGACGTAGATGCAAAACAAAAAGAAATTTAACCATCAAAACTAACTTTCCAAAAGTCGTATGGAAAATGTGCTCAAAATTTATGTCGGTCTGGGCCAAAGCCCAGCCCAGGACTGCCAATGGATTTCCCTCGGGCACTTTCCATCGCCTCCTTGGTGAAAAATGTAGTTGAACCTTTGCTGGGTCACACAAAACGTTCTGCATTCCCACATTCTGGTTTCAAGTCCGATTCTCTGACTCAAGCCCCAAGCCCAAGCCCCATTGTTCCAAGCTTGACCCATTTCGGTTATGGCCCCTCACATGGCACAAATCCCCCAATTGAATGTGAATTTTTTCGCAAAGAACAACGAATTTTGGCTTGCCTCAGCTGGCGCAACACGTGACATCACTGGCGGGGTCATTTCACATGAACTCTTGTCTTTGCTTTTGTGGCTTTGCTTTTGGGGTGGAGGAGAGCGAGCGCGAAACTCTTTTCAGCATATGTACGAACGAGCGGTGTGTCTTGTCTTGGGAAAAGTAGTTTTAATTTCTTTGGTTTCTTTTCCTCCTACAATTTGACTTTCTTTTAATTTGGAAACGACATTTGAGGCGGACCCAAAACGTCGCTTTGTGTGCCAAAGATCACGTAGGCCCGCCAGTCTCGAAAGACTGCCTCAAATAGAAGCCTCCGCAATTATATTTTTTTCGCTTTGAAAATCTTCCTTCTAAAGTCATGAACTCGTAGACCAATCCTTGCCGGGCAGAAGATTTCTGCAGTATTATTTATCTCACAGAAATATTAATGTAAATTTTCAGTTCAAAATATTGTGCATATTTTTTTAGGTATTTGTTACAGCTTATGTCATGGCTGAACACAGGAATCATCTCTCATCTTAAAATTACAAGGGAAACCGAAAAGCGATGTAAGCGATGTAAGCGATGCTCCCCTTCCTTTCTTTCTTTATGGCAAACATCTACCCAAAAAGTTTCGGCCAACATCATAATTTACGTAAATAGCGTACTCTGACCAGCGACTCTGACTCCACTTTGGGGCCAAGAACCCTCACTGACCGAGTAACCAACCGGCTATCAATTTACTTAACCCAAACCCAACTATGATGTGATGCCATTTCTCTCGACTCTTGATTAAGGCCAACAACAACAACAACAATCAAATCGAAGAAGAAACTAACTTTGAATTAAGTTTTTCTGTTTTTGTGTTTTTGTGTTTTTGTTTGTTTTTTTTTTCGTTTTTGTTTGTTGTTGTTTGCCTGGCACACAGAGCTGGGCTGAGGGGTTTCTTTTGGGGGAACACGCTTCATGGAGGAACTGGAACTGGCTTCTTGAATACGCGAAAAGGTTATTGACTTTTACAACAAGCAAAACAGACGCCAAAAAAAAAAAAACAACAACAACACACACACACATAATAATATAATTCACACACATGCTGTGTGTGGGTCAGCAAGAGAGTGTGCAGGGGGGGAGGGCGAGCAAGAGTGTGAAAGAGAAAGGTAGATCGGTGTAGGATGAGGAAAGAAAACAACGCAAAAATTACGTGAAAGTTTGGCATTGCATACAGAGGAGACCCCGCCGTCTGTTACCCAGTGTCTTGTCTGTGTGTGTGTGTGTGTGTGTGTGTATTTATGTTTATAATACCCTTAAAAAGAGGTACTATGTGGCTGAGCAGGCGTTTGCCAACCAGACAAGGAATTCTACATTTATTTTTATTTATTTGTTTTTTTTTTTATGCTCAGAATTTAATTTAATTAAATTGAATGGTAGAAATGTATCTGCAAGTGTATATAAAACTTCGGCCCCCCAAAAGCTACATAGTTGTTTTTTCTTGTTTCCGTGTGTCTGTGGCTGTGCCTGTGTGTGCGTGTGGCACGCAATCGAAAGAAACATTTTTGAAATTCTTATCTCGTTTGCTTTTTTTTTTTCATTAAATATTTCTGCTGCTGTTGTTGTTGTTGCTGCAGCTGCTGTTGTGGAATTCATTGACCGATATTAAACAAGTTGCCAAATAAAACAGATGATCGTACATACATATGTATGCATGTACCTATGTACCTATGTATATGTGTATAATGCTTGTTTGCTTATATCGTATAATGGATATCGTAAGGGCCTGGCCTGCAGAGTTCATTGACGCTGCTGTCTGCTGCTGCTGCCTGCCTGCCTGCCTGCTGCCTGCCCTACCGCAGTCGTCTGTGACGTGCTCTCCGCTGTTCTTGTTCTTCAAGAAATTTCAATATAAATAGAAGATGAATAGAAAACAAAATCATTTAAAAGAATTGGGTCACGAATTTTGTGCAATTTATTTGATGTTCTGTTTTTAATTAATTTTTTTCTGGTTGTTGTTTATTTATTATGATTTTTTTTGCGCGTCTTTTCTGCCTTTTGTTGAACTTCCTAAAACGTTTGACAACAAATTCCAGCTGCCCCGATGCTCTCACGTTGACTTTGGCGTTTTTTGATTGTCGCGTCATTGTTTTGGCATGGTACCCTGTACTCAGCATGTTCCAAGGGTATGTACAGCATAAAGGAAAGCTTACCAAACATTTACCAACTGTTTTTTAACCAGTTCTGGCATCACTTTCCTCTCACTGCGAAATTACATATAATTAGAGGGTATTCTCTGCTCGTAACCTGTTATAATAATTATTTTTTTGTTATTTCTAGCTACGACCACGCTCAATTGACTTTTTTTATTGCGTGCTTTTGTTTTTGCTTTTCTTTCTGCCTCTCTGCCTGGCGCTGGCGCTGCCTCCCCCCTCTTACCATTTCATTCCCACTGCCTGCTTCTTTTT